CTCTTTTAAAATACAGGTTTCATGAATTGGAGATTTGTGAACACTGCTTGAAGGCATCTGAAAACTTTGTGTTTTTCCAACTCTCAAAGCAGCTTCTTTCCAGAGGTCTAATGCTCACAGTCAGAAAAGCTAAATGCATCTCTCGTTGTTTCACCGATCTTTTTCCGGAGGAAAAAAAAAAAAGAAAGAAAGCGAAAAGAAAATAGAGAAGAAAAGAGCATGGAGGAGGAGAGAGGAAAAGTGGAAGAGAAGGGGGGAAAGGGAGAGAGAAAATGAAGGAGCACTGGACTACCGACTGCTGACGAGCCGACCCAGAGCAGCCGCGGCGCCCGGCCGCCGGCGCCCACTGGTCCGCGGAGCTGCCAATCGGGGAGTAATCCCGTAGGAATTTCTCCCGGGTTTAGCCGGGAGTCACCCTGCTTGCTGCCTCTTTCCTAGACGCCCGGAGAAGCCTGGAGAAGCCAGCTCCGGAGGGAGGCAGAGTGGCAAGGAGGGAGGGAGCTGGAGGAGAGGAGGAGAGGAGGAGGACCCCGCGAGGGAGGCGGCGGCCCGGAAGGAGGGGCGCAGCGGCTGAGCCACTAGCAGCACGGCCGCGCGTCTCTCCAGATACTCCCGGAGCTCCTGCCGCGCGCAGCGCGCCTGCACCGCTCTGCCCGCAAACTTGAGTTGCAGCGACATTCCAAGCCATCTCATTTATTCCCCCAAATCAGAAGCTGAGCCGCGACACGGGGAAGGAGTTCGCGGAGGAGTAAAACAACAGCCGAGCAAGAAGCGATTCGGAGAGCAGCCTCCCCCGAGCAACAGCTCGGCGTCAAGAGTGCAGAAACCAACAAGTGAGGAGGCGCCGCGTTCTCGGGGCGCAGTCGAGGACCCGGGAGCAGGCACAGGAGGAAGCAACGAGTGCCTCCGAGCCCGAGGCGAGGTCGCTGCGGCTGCTCTGCTCTAAGTCCCTCTGCGCGGGCTGCGCCGGGCGCTGGGCAAGAGGCTTCGTTTCACCCTGGTTGCAAGCGGCGGCAGGGAGCAGCCGGTTCTCGGGGGAATATGCGGCGCGCTTGGATCCTGCTTACCTTGGGCTTGGTGGCCTGTGTGTCGGCGGAGTCGGTGAGTAGGCCAGGCGAGGGTCGCAAGCGCCGTTTAGGGTCCTGGAGGCCGAGCGGAGTCCGCAGCGCCCGCGGGAATCGGGGAGCGCCACCTGGGGGTTCCCACCGCCCCACACCACCAGATGCGGCGCTCGTCCCCCGGGAGCTACTGGGACAAACGCGCTCTCTCCTCCATCCGTTTCCACCTTCCCTTCCCGCAGAAAAGCGCCTCTCGCCGGAGTTGACCCGAGATCCCTGGGGATGAGGGCGCGAGAATCGCAGTTTTGTCAAACTGCAGAGGCCCCGAAATCGCTCCCAGCTTCTTCCCCATGGGAGGGTCTTGCTGTGTTGCTGGGGGAAGGACGGAGGGGAAAGGGTGGCCGAGATGGGAGCCCGCATAGGGCTCGCGAGGGAAGGGGTCCCCTCCGCGCGCTCCCCGAGACCCGGGGCGACCTGTAAACTTTGAGGTCCCTTCCTCCGCACACCATGTTCCCATGCTAGCTTTCCTACTCAATTGAATGCAAGCTCTGGGGAGATGGGGCCCTGATTTAAGCAACCCGCGAGTGTCGAGAGGGGAAAGTTTGCAAAAGTTCTTTTGTTTGACGTTCCCCGTAGCTGGTGCGACGGAGCAGACACTACGTGGAAACATTACCCGCCGAGGTGCAGTCCACGGTCCCGCGGGCGGGGGGTGGGGGGGAGCGGAATGGCCGGAAAATGCTGGGGTGCCGGCTGCTGGAATTCCGGTCTTGCAGCGACCCCCCTGCTCCGTGAGGAGCGGAGAACGGCAGGCGCGGACCCTCAGGGGCAGGAGGACATTTTAATACGGATTGCATTGGCGTGCAGCACGCAGGGCGAGGCGGGCTGCGTGTGACATCGGGTCGCCTGGCAGCTCGGGGACCAAATCTTCCAGCCCGCCATGCTCGCTGTCGCGGGTCCTGGCTGGGGCGCACCCGAGGCTGAGAGGAGTCTTGAACCGCCCGGGCAGGTTGCAGGTTTCCAGCAGTGGGAATCTGGTTTCCCCTCTTTTGGGTGGGTTTCGAGGGCTGGAGCTTGTTTCGCTATGTCGCCCGAAGAGCGCCCTCTAATGGGAACTGCCTCCTGGGCTTCCCCTGGTCTGTGAAGGTTCCTACTTGGAAGCCCCGAGCTTTGTCTAGCGAGGTGGAAGCCCAAGGACCCCCGATTCCGTCTGCAGCCTCAGTGCGGTCTGAGGCCTGGATTAGGGAGTGCAGCTGTTTCTGTTCCTTCTAGTTCTCCATATCTCCTCCCTTTGCCACCTGATACCTTGTCTGTTTCTAATTAACTGAAATGTCTCTTCGAAGATAAATAATGTCATCTTTACGGGTGGTTTTGTGAGTTTTCCCCCTTCCCTTTGGACCTTTGGAGTGTTACTTCCCCCCTTCTTTCTTTCTTTTTTTTTGAGTTGTGGCAATTTAGGATTGGGAAACCTCTTTGGCACTGAGCAGCAGATGGACATTTTTCATCAGCGTGGGAGCCTCTGTGTGGGCTTGCAGGTCCCCAAACATGACAGGGGATTGGAGAGCACGTAGCCTTGCACACTGTACAGATGAGTGTTGGGGCGCTCTGGCTGTAAAACAGAACTCTGAGCCTTATAAGTATTATTTTTCTTTGGCAAGTGATCTTGAATCCGTTGGGATTGGTCCTCTCCCAGCCAGTGATGCACTTTGGCTTTTGTACACAAAAAGGGGGGAGATTCTGCCTATTTCAGAAAATCCTAAGTGCTCATCTTGTTGCAAAACAGGGCAAAGGGAGAATTCCATCTAAAGGTTTTTAAGAGAGGCCTGCCTAAAAAGCTGTACAGGGTTAAGGAGGTCCTTTTTTTTTCTTTTTTCTTTTTTTTACTGAGACTTGTTCAGCGTTTCCTAAGAAATGTTACTATTTGGGGATTCTAGAAAAAGAATGTTATCTTCTGCCTCTCTGGGTTGTTGCATCAATGGGACAGTACTGCTCCTTAAGGAAGCTTTTTGGCTGAACTATAGTGTCCTCCCCAGTGGCACCTTTCCCCCAATTCTGTGTCTTTGGGGTTCTAATATTTCTCATTTCCAATCAGAATTGGATGCTTTCTGAGTGAGCTGCTTCGCTTAGTAGATACTGTTTCCAGTAATTGGAATATCATCCAAAAGGGTGATTAGATATTTTTAAAATGTCAACTTGGAGACTCTAGCAGAGTCTTTGTTAGGCAATGAGTCAGTGGTTCCCAACAGAAGCTGTTTTAAACCCCAGGATGGCTAATAGTCCATATAAATTACTTTTCAGTTTTTATTTGTTTCATGTGTAGCAGCATAAATGTATGCAAAGTTGAAAGACATAATTTTTAAACATTTAGTCATGATAGCACATTATTTCCAGTACTTTGCATTTTAATTTGAAAACTGCTTACTGTTGCCTGGGAATTAGATGTAGTCATGGTCTGAGCTTAAAGTCTCTCTTTAAAAGGAAGAAAGGAAAAACATCTGCAGTTAGTGAATTTTTTATTTTAGACTAAGTTCAAGGGGGAAAAAAAAAGATTCTCAGGAATCAAGGCTCAAAGATGTCTGAAGAAGTACTGGTGGCCCTTCCTTTATGGACGCTAGAGACAGCAGGGACAGCCTGTTCAGGGTGATGCATTCATACTTTCCACCGGCAGGTTAGGACTTTCACTGTGGGAACGCCATGCAAGGGGAAAGACTGCGTGTGGCGGTAGTGATATGCTGCTGTTTCTCTGTTTTCACATGACTGTTTAGCTTTAGGAATAATATAGCGCAGGCTGCTATAAATGCATAATTTGAACTGGAAATATGTTTAAGAAAAGGAAGCGTTTGAACTAGTGGAATTTATACACATGCTTAGATGTGTGTAAATTAAAAGAAACTGTCAAGTCATTTCGACCCATGCATTACCTCTCAGTGTGTTATGAAAGGCAGGCTTTGGAAAGTTTGCATTAGAAGGAAAAATAAAATGGAACCATATAACCTTTTGCAGTTCTCTAAAAAAATATATTTTGGCTGTTCGAGTAATGAAACAAATTACTTTTGCTAGGGAATTTCATAGAAACAAGGGCTCTTTCTCTGTTAGTTGGATATTAGCAGTAGGTAGATGTTATTTAAGAAGGAAAGATCTTATAAGATCAGGCTTGCCCGAAGATGGGTGTCCTGAGAGGAATTTGAGTATGCCCTCCAACTCTTACTTCTGGGACCTGGTATGGTTTTGATGGTGCTCGCCTTTCGAAAGACTGTGTAACATGATTACTCAAATGGTGCCTTGAATAATCATTAGTTTGGAAAGGATTTCAAAGGATCATCTAGTTTTTTCCCTGGGTGGGACTAGTTCTCACTTCTCCCAAGTCCCCCAGAGACCTAACTGGCCAGCTGCAAGTCTCCTGGGGTCTCCTTAAGTTGTCAAGGCCCCTGAGGCTGACCCAGCCCCCCAGAGCCCGGCCCGCCTCTGTCATTTAACTTTATAGGGAGTCTGGTCAAGCTACTGTGCTTTTGGCATGTCAGCTGGCAGTGATCCAGGAGGTCATGTGAGGAATTTCATCTGAGTTTAGATTCTCATGAGACTGCACCTCCTCCATTTCTAAAAATCAAACTAGAAGATCTCACCCATCATTTCTTTATTCCCAAAACAGAAGACTAACTATTCATGCCACCTGTCAACAGTACATTCCAGTATCTCAAAATCACCTACTTCTTGAATGGATCAGAAGCCAAATAAAGTTTTAAAGAAAAGCAAGAAGTAATGAAGACGAGCTTTTGCTGATATAGAAGCTACTCTTATTTAACTTCTTAAAATCAACTGTGCCAGTACCATCTCTTCATTCTAGTCCTTTGGATTTGAATGTTGAAGACGTCCTTGACTCATTTGTCTTCCCTGACTTCTAAACCCACCTATGTGTTGTTCATTCCACAAATATTCATTCAGCATCTACTAAGTGCTCAGGATGAAGCAGTGAGCAAGGCAGCCAAGCCCCTCTTGTCTTTTGGGAGCTCACATTCTAGTGATCCAGATAGCTTTTCTGTCCTGTTTTTTCTTTCTTGGGGCCTGGCCAGCTCATGCCTCCATGCCAACACCCTTATAGTTACCCTTCCTGGCCCAGATGCTCACCTGCTGTTTGATTTATCCTGTATCGCTTTGATTGTGTTGCCCATGCTCCACAAACTCTGCACTTCCTTATTCTCATGGGTGGAGCCTCAATATCTCTGCTAGATTTATAAGGTGCTCCATAATATTGCTCCTTCCCGAGTCTCCTGCCTTGATTCCTCTGTCACGTGTCCGGGCTTGCCCCCCACCCCCAGTCTCACTGTTGTGAACACTCCTAGGACACCACCTCCTCAGTGTTTCTCCTTTCAAATTCTGTTGATTCCAATCCAAGCTCCAAATTGCCTTACATGACCGATGCAGCCCCTGTTTTTATTTTGCTGTAAATAGTGAGGCAGACTGATCATCAGAATCACTGGAAGTATGTAAAAATGCAGATTTCAGGGCCTCCTCTCAGATCTACACAATCAGAAACCTAAAAGGGGGAGGCAGAGCTGTCTGTATTTTTATGAAGCATCTCAGATGATTCTAATGAATCATTCACATGTGGGAACCACTGGTCTGGGTCACATACATTACCCCTGATTCCATGCAATTCTGTTTAAGGCCCAAGGCTTCCAGCAGTAAAAAGCTCTGTGATCCTGGGGGCTAGGATCAAGCGCAAAGGGCTTGGGAGGTATGCAAGTCTGGGTTCAGATGCTGATACTTTGCCACTTACTCAGTATAGTAGGACTTGGACATGTTAAACTCCGAGTCACTTAAAAAACTACACACAAATTCGTGTATAAATTGGACCTAAGAATGCCTTTATAACATGACTGTTGTGAGCATAAAATTGAGGGGGCCTAGGAATGGTGCTTGAGGCACAGAGGTACTAGTGTTTCCTTTCTTCCGTTTCTTTCTCAGCCTCTGTTTTCTTGGCTATGAAACTAGGGAGCCATTTAAGATGTTCTTTTTTTATAAAGATTTTATTGGGGAGTTGAGGGA